ATTAGGTGTTCGCTAACCTGTTCTGATAGAGAGCTGCAATTTTCTGATTTTGTCTACCTATTTATCTCTTTGCTCAAGTCTTTGTAGCCTCTTTCTTTTTTTTCTGGTATGCAGGACTTCTTGAGGAATTCTTGGGGGAGGGGAGTCTTGTGGTGATAAACTCCCTTAGCTTTTGTTTATTTGGGAAAATTTTTATTTCTCTATCATGTCTGAAGGATATTTTCACTGGATAGAGTATTCTTGGCTGAAAGTTTTTGTCCTCAGAATTTTGAAGACATCATTCCACTCTCTCCTAGCCTGTAAGGTATCTGCTGAGAAATCCACTGAAAGCCTGATAGGAGTCCCTTTGTAGTTTATTGTCCTCTGCCTTGCTGCCCTTAATATCTTTTCTTTGTCATTGGCTTTTGCCAGCTTTAATATATGCCTTGGAGAAGGTCTTTTTATATTGATATAGTTCGGAGGTCTGTTGTCTTCTTTCACTTATATTTCCAGTTCCTTCCCCAGGTTTGGGAAGTTCTCAGCTATTATTTCTTTGAACAAGCTTTCTGCTCCGTTCTCCTTCTCTTCTCCCTCTGGAATACCTATAATACTTATGTTGCATTTCCTAATTGAGTAGGCTATTTCTTGGAGAATTTCTTCATTTCTTTTTAGCCTTAGCTCTCTATCCTTCTCCATCTGAAGCATTTCTATATTTCTGTCCTCTAGACTACTCATTCTCTCCTCCATAATATAAGCTCTGTTTTTCAGGGAGTACAGATTTTTCTTTAGCTCATCCATTGTGTTTTTCATCTCTAACATTTCTGATTGGTTTTTCTTTATAGTTGTAATCTCTTTTGTGAAGAAGTTCCTGATTTCATTGAACTGTCTATCTGTACTTTCTTGCAACTCATTGAGTATTTTATGATAGCTATTTTGAATTCTCTGCCATTTAGATTACTAATTTCTATGCCTTCAGGGTTGATTTCTGGGTGCTTGTCATTTTCCTTCTGTTCTGGAGATTTAATATATTTTTTCATACTGTTTGACAGTGTGTATTTGTGCCTCCACAGAGTGATAGTACCTGGTCACAGCTTCCACCTGCTGCCACTGGGTGGGGGTCAGGAGCTGGGAATGCTGAGCCTGTGGAGATCCACAGCCTGCTCACTCACAACTGCTACTTTTCTATCTGTATGCACGCCCTGGCCAACCAGCTCAGCAGGAGCACCAGGTGGGGGAAGGGGCACTTTCTTTCACCTCTGAGGTCCTGGGGAGATTCTTGCTCTCCCTCTGCTATCCACTTTTGTTGGGTTCTGGCTTGATAAAGACAACCCAGCAATAGTTTAGTCACCTCTGTGTGGGACTTTCCCACAGGCTGTGTGGGAACTTAGAGGGCAAAGGAGTTCTCACAGAGGGCTACACCTTCTCCTTTTCCTTTCAGAAGAAATGTCCCATGCCCTGGGTTGCTGCTGTTGGGGAGGGAGAGGAGATCCCCTTACCTCCTTCCACTTCCTCCAGGGGGTCCAGTACCTCCACCTTCAGAAATATGGCTATGTGGGTCTGTCAGACATCTTTTGCACTGTTTGAATGTCTTCTGTTGGTGTATAAATGTCCTTTTCATTGTATCTTAGGGGTATAGTCTAAGGGGACAGCTCACTCTGCCATGATGCTGATGTCAGGCAAAATTACCATGAAAGTTTTAAAAGTCAACATATAAAAGCAATAATACGCTGCTTCTAAGTGAGCTTTATCTTAGCAATACAGGACTGAACAGTTGAAAAATAAATAATGTCTTTTACCATATTAAAAGGCTTAAAAAGAAAGTCACATACTTGTACCAATATAGGCAGAAAAAGTATTTGACAAAATTCAACATTAATTCAAAATAATAATAAAAAAAAAAAACAACTGGGGCCAGCCCAATGGAATATTGGTTAAGTTTGTGTCCTCTGCTTTGGTGGCCCAGGCTTCCCAGGTTTGGAGCCCAGGCATGGATCTAGCACTGTTTGTCAAGCCCCACTGTGACAGCATCCCAGATAAAACAGAGGAAGATTGGTACATATGTTAGCTCACAGCGAATCTTGCTCAAGCAAAAAGATAAAGATTGGGGACAGGTATTAGCTCAGGGCCAATCTTCTTCAGAAAAAACAAAAAAATACCTCACCAAATTAGGAATAGAAGGAAACATCCTCATTTTAAAAAGGCCATCTACAGAAACACCTACAGGTGACATCATTCTTAATGGTAAGATATTGAATGCTTTTACTCCAAGATACAGAACAAGACAAGGGTATTTGCTCTTATGACTCTTATTCAATGCCATACTGGAAGTTCTAGCCAGTTTAAGAAGGCAAGGAAAAGAAATAAAAGATATTTAGATTGGAAAGAAAGCAATAAAACTACCTCTATTCACAGACAACATGATTGTCTACACAGGAAATATCAAGGAATCTACAGAAAAATACATAGTTCATCAAAGACAATACTATTTCTATACACTAGCAATAAAAATTCGAAAACCAAAATTAAAAAAAAATTCTATTTACAATAGCTTAAGAAAAATTAAATACTTAGGGGGCTGGCCCAGTGGTGTAACGGTTAAGTTCACATGCTCTGCTTTGGTGGCCTGGGGTTTACTAGTTCAGATCCTGGACGGGGACCTCCACAGTGCTTATTAAGCCATAGTGTGGCAGACATCCACATATAAAGTAAAGAAAGATGGGCACAGATACTAGCTCAGGGCCAATCTTACTCAGCAAAAAGAGGAGAAGTGGCGGATGTTAGCTCAGGGCTAATCTTCCTCAAAAAAAATAAAGAAATTAAATACTTAGATATAAATCTAACAGGTTTCTTCAGAATCTGTATCTAAAAAGCACAAAGAGTTGCTGAAACATCAAAAAAGACCTATGTAAATGGAGAGACATACAAAGTTCATGGATTGGAAGATTCAGTATAATTCAGATATCCATTTTTTCCAAACAAATCTAAAGATTTAACACACTTCCAATCAAAATCCATGCAGGATTTATCACAACTATAGAGAAGCTCATTCTAAAATATATATGGAAAAGTAAAAGACCTAGAACATCCAGAACAATTTTGATAAATAATAACATATGTGGACACTATGCAGCTTTAAGACATTGTAATAAACTAAAGTGTCAAGACAGAATAGTACTGGTGAAAAGATAAACACATAGATCAATGAAAAAGAAGAGATACTCTAGAAATAGACCCACTCAATTATTGTCAGCTTACTTTTCACAAAGGTGCAAAGCGAATTCAACGGAAAAAGGCAGTCTTCACAACAATTGATTCTTGGAATAAGTGGCATCCATATTAAAAAAATAATAATCCTCAACCTATATCTTGTACCATATACAAAAAAATATTCAAAATGTAAACTTGAGCTGATACAAAATTTAAAACAAAAAACTAAATGTAAAACATAAAAGTATAAAATTCTTAGGTGAAAATAAAGGAGAAACTATTTATGACTTTGCTTTAGGAAAGAGTTCTTAGATACAACACCAAACTCATGATCTGTAAAAGAAAAAAAATGGTGAATTAGACTTCATCACTATGAAAAAGACTTCTACTCTGTGAAAGACACTTTTAAGAGAATAAAAAGATCAGCCACAGACTGGAAGAAAATATTGGCAAATTGCATATCAGACAAAGGATGTGTATGCAAAATATCTAAAGAATCCTCAAAACTGAACAATAAGAAAACAACCCAATTTTTAAAAAATGGGCAGAAGGTTTTAACAGATATTTTACCAAAGAAGGTATATGGATGGCAAATAAGCATTTGAAATGATGCCCAACATCATTAGTCATCACACAAAAAGCGAATCAAAAGCACAATGAGATCCTATTACACATCTATTAGTACAGTTTAAAGAATAATGACAGTTCCAAGTGTTGATGAGGATGGGAGGAAACAGGAAGCCTCAAACACTGCTGATGGGAACGTAAAAGGGCATGGCCACTCTAAAAAACAGTTTGACAGTTTCTTACAAACCTAAGCATATACACTTATCATATAACTCAGCAAATGCACTGTAGGTATTTATGCTTGAGAAATGAAAACTAATTTTTGCACAAAACCTGTACTTGAATATATATAACAGCATTATTTATAATTGCCCAAAGCTAGAAACAATCTAAATATCCTTTGAGGAGTGAATGGATTCATAAACTGGTTAGTATTTCCACACAATGGCATATATAAAAGAACAAATTATTGATACACACAATAACTTACATGGATCTTGAATGTATTTTTCTAAATGAAATAACACAGTCTCAGAGGGTCACATACTGTATTATTCCATTTAAATGACATTCTGGAGAAGGCAAAAACATAGAAATGGAGAAAAATCAGTGGCTATCAGGGGTTAGGGATGGGGAGAGTCAGAATACAAAGGTGATGTCATGAGGGAATTCTTTGGCAGTGTTGATATTTTCTGTATCCATCTGTGGTGATGATTATAAGAACATATACAAGTATTAAAAACTCATAGTATTGTACAACAAAAAATGGATTTTTCTCTCGGTAAATGTAAAAAACTAAACACATTCTAAAAAACTCTTCTGAGGACTTTGTGTAACTCACATTGGAATAAAATTCTCAGGATTTAAGAGTACAATAAAATGTTTAAATCTCACACCACTTAAAGACTATATGCAAACCTGGGTTACCAAACAGGAGAAAATCAAGAAGCTAGAGGCAATCATGTAACGAGTATCAAAAAGAAATATATATAGGCTCTCCCACAAATAACGAATATATGTAAGTACTCAAAATTCCTCAAAACCACCCAGATATGGATGGGGGGAGTGTGGAGAATATGAAGACTTATGCAAGAGGAAGTGAAGTGAGAGAGATATTAGAGTAATCTAGCCTCTGCTTCAAAGGAAGGGTATGGTAATTTTCCAGGTAGAAAGACTTCACCTCAATACTCACTTCCGTTCAGCTCTTTCCCTACTACCTGGAAGAGATGACCAATAGTTCTCAATACCTCTTCAATGGCACCTGCAGAAATCCTGTGACCTGCAACGTTTATCACATCGTCAACTCGAGACATAACATATACATAGCCTTCTTCATCCATGTAACCAGCATCCATGGTGTCATAATATCCCTGAAAATAAGAATAAATAATGTCCAATTAGCATGTATTGCTAGATAATACAGTCATTTTTAAGTTTGGTTTAAATGGGATAGAAATGGATTTACGCATTTGACTTTCATAACTAGACTATGGAATTAAATTACTTTTGGTTTTGATAACTTACTAGAATCTCTTTGCTCCTCTAACAGCCAGGAATAAATTAAAGAGTTCTTATATATGTTCAAGTTAAGTGTTTGAACTTAAGAGTTGTAAAGTTTATGAACCCAATTTTTTTTTTAATGGAGACGTAATAGCTTAGTATTTCTCATATACTTTGGTATTCCAAAGTAATTCTTTGATAGATTTCTTCTTTAATTGTGTTAATTTTTAAAAGCTTTAAAGCTCCCTAAACATAATTATAAAATAGAGCATTAGTTTATTAACATGAATTTGGATTGTACTCGAGCTTCGGTGAAATATAATTGTACTATGAAATTTAATTTTTAATCAACTCAAAGTAGCAGCACATATTCACTGGTCCAGAAGGCACAATAGAATGAAAAATCAGGAAGAAGAAGAAGTAGAAAGAAAGAAATATTACTTCCCCTAATAATTCTGAGTGATCTTGATACCTATGTTTATGAGCATAGGCTTCAGGACAAATCCAGGTGAGTCACTATTTGTGTTTCTTAATCTTTGTGAGACTCAGTATGCCCATCTGTTAAACAGGGTAATGAACTATACCTTATAAGGCTTCAATGAGCGTAAATGGGATGGCGTATATGAAGAGGGCAGACCCTGGCACACCATGAGCCCGCAATAATTGGCAGGTCTTTTTGCAATTACTATTGCAGTTCCTATTAGACGGACAGCCTAGAGTCCAGTTAAAGTGCACAGACTCTGGAGCCAGACTATATGGGTTCAAATGTCAGCTCCATCACTTTCAAGCTATGGGCAAATTACTCAACCCTTCTGTGCATAGATTAGAAATTTGAGGTCAGGGTAACAAGGCAGGATATAGAGCCATTCCATATAGTTCAACCATAAACTGGGCTTTGAAGGAGATTTCAATGCAGGTGATCACATCAAAACTACATGCACATACTATTTGCCACTGTCAGGTGGTAATTAATCCTATCAGTACTCTGATGATTGAAGTGTGGTCCATCAGGCAGACAGATTGGGCTGACTGGAGTCAATACACTGACACATCTTCCTGCCAGCGGCCCTCAGGGCATGTTTAATCTTGGCTACTGAGGTCATTTAACTCTGAGATCTTTTTCTAAAGGAAGCTATTCTAATTCTGGTCATGTATATAGTTGATTAGGTTAGCTGTCCTTTACTCACAAACAAAAAAGATAAAACGCTAAATACTTAGAATCACTTTTTTAAAATAAAATTCTGATCGTTCATTCTTTTTTTACCTCGTGCTTAATGAGGACCAGATATCTCCCTCAGGGAAAGAAACAGAAGTTTCTTTCTGACCTGTATCATCACTAATGTGTTGTTACAAACACAAAACACATGACCGTGGTACAGAGTAACAGGTCAATGACAAAACGGAACAGAGGGAGGCATATGTTCTGTTATCCCGGGCACTGGGGGTTGTGATTTGAGAACACTGTCCTATCATGTATCTACATTTTAAAATGGGATTTTAAAATACAAAGCTCAGGGAACACTCAGGAGAAAATGTCAAAAATAAGTAAAGAAATGGAAAAATACAACTTCTGAGACAGCCAAATGAGTTTTGCTCAGGTAACCAGAAGTAGAAGAGATTAAAGGGTCCTAGTGGCAGTATACAATTCTGATCAGGTGCTCTCGGTCTGCAGAGGAATCCAATGGAGGAAATAATATCGAAAGCACAGAAATGTTTTAAGTTAACAAAAAATTCCTGATATCAAGGGAACATGGAATTCCAGTAAAATCTGCTAAGAGAATCTGAGAAATTTCTAGGTCCAGAAACTGAGAAAAATAAATATAAAAATGACTTATTTAGACAATTGTGGTTTAGACATTCTTATCCCTGAGATCTGGAAACTGGTCCAGATAACCCTAAAAAGTTGCTTTGTATCTGTGATTCTAGGAGCAATTTGCTCAACTTAGGCAAGAAAAATAGAGAAGTACTTAAGAAGGTAACAAAAGTATAACAAAGTTCTTACAGGAAATTTTTCAAAGTATAAATGCTTGAATGCTTCCTGATTCTTCCAGAGTCCTGAAAAAGCCCCAGGTGGTAATGGCAACCTTATATAAAAACAGAGCAGTTAGAATTATGATGAAAGTGGTAATAAAGACATATTAATTAGAATTAATAATATTCTAGTGCAATGGATAATTACAATTCAAATCCCACATTGAAATGTAATCCCTAAATCTGCTGGACAGATCATGTCTAACTGAGGCTGAAGTAGTTGACCATGACATTGCACAGTCATTGAGAGATGACTGTAGCTTCTGGAAAGGGCACAAAAGGCACACACATTTGGCATTCAAATAGTTACTAGTAGCAATCATTGTCTCAATAAGAAACATAACATCTGCAAAAAGGAACCAAAATGCATTACTTTTTGAGAATTACTTATTGAGAACTATCATTCCACCATGGGCAAACAAATTCATTTTTTTTAAGTACCAAGTTACCAACTGCCACCCTCGCCTGTCTCTGTGTAATGGAATGCTCCAGTTAAACATCCCATGAGCAATCTTGTCTTCGCAATCAGTGTGCCTCCCACTCTGGGAGTTCCCTCTCACTGCTTCCTCTTCTATTCTTCCTTTTCATGACCATCCGACCTATGTGACTTCTCACTCGTAGGAACACGTGGAGATACTTCAGAACATCGAATATGAGAGAGTCTATATCTCTTCTTTCCAAGAAATTTCCTCTTATATTTCCTTCTTTCCTCCATAGTACGAAACAGGTGTTATACAGATGGCAAGAGCTTAATCTTTATCTATCTCTACCTATCACCTATCTGTCTATCTATCTATCTAATCTATCTCTATATAGATAAATGAATACATTCTCTTATCAGTTCCCTGTAGGAAGTGCCACCTAAAGAAAAGAACCACTCAAATTGTTTTCTGGACACAGAAAGCTTTTAGATGCTTTATAGTTTGGAAACTTAGATACTGTAAAACTTAAGGATTTTCAAAAACCCACTCTCCCGTACTCACACAATAAGAATACTAAGTGAAGCAGTGACTTCACAGTGCTGATGCTGAGAAAACTGAAAATGAAGTAGACCTGGCTACTACTGCCCACATGAGACAACATCAAACACCCTCCACCCCAATATTAGTCTTCAAGGCACTCAATTATACGCTAACATTCCGTCAGGCAGAAAATACTGGTCCAGGTGGGATCAGCAGCCCAGTTGTGATCACCCATTTCCACCATGTCCTGCCTCGTGGGGAGTCCTCTCTCACTAGGTCTTCTTTTTGTAATATTTTTAAATGGAGGAAAAATGCTACCTTAGCATTTCTGGATCTCATATAATTACATAAAATGCATGTGAAAGCATTTTGTAATCTGTGAAAAAACCCACAGAGATGCTTCTATGTTGTCGCTGTCACTATTCTCTTCATCACTGAACCTGGGTGAAGGCAGCAGGCTGAAGCAGATAATCCCTTCGGGTCCTTTTAACTGACGTTTCTATGTTAACCTTCCAAATCACCATACATATAATTTCATTTTATCAGTTTAATTGTTAATATTTTAAAAACTAGTGTAAAAATCTTTATTAATCACTGAAAGAAAATATGAATGTGGCAACCAGTAAAAATCATTCAATTTAGCAGCATTTTCAGGATTTAGAGGATAAAGAGGTGAAGAGAACACTAAGAAGAGATGACCAATCAAAAAAGTCAATATGGGCTAGAATAGATAACACATATCAGTGAAGCTGACTATATGTAAAATAAACAACAATAAACATGCATTCTGCTTGCATATTAAATAAGAAATAATTTTAAGTTGTTCCCAAGAAATATATCATGATATATAGTCCTTTCTATCTTTCATGGTGACAATTTTTAACACATACATGGGTATAAGAAAACATCTCCCTAAAACAAGAAAAATAAAATAATGTGATAATAAACAGCAGCTGACACTCAGGCTGCACTGGGGTCTGAGGCAAATTAGAATGCACATGTCAGGTCTAAGGGGAGCTGCTGTTTCTTAGTCCCACCTGATCGCTGATATATGGAAATGCTGATCCAAACCCTTAAACACACAACATTGTCTGTACCAAGGACTATGCATACAGGAGGACATATTGTCAAACAAGCATCTCTTTCATTTTATCCACCCGAAAACCAAGATTTTGGTCCACCAGCATCCACACACTGCCTCCTCACAGTAAACAGAGATTCTTAAGCGTTTGCAATAATAATCCAACTGAGTTAGTGCTTAGGGTATTGAATGTGAACTGAGTTTTCTGGTGGCCTAGCATAGACCTAATTCAGTGTGTGTACACGGGACCAAGAGTTTAGCATTTTCCAGTAAAAGTGCTACTGGAGAGAAAGGGAGCATCTTATACTTCCCAGAAGTTGGCTAAGTTTGCAATCTATATTCTTAAAGAAGATGCCCTGATGATCTGTGTTTTCTCTTAGTAACAGATAGATTACATTCTTCTAATTAATTAAAGTCTAGAGGACTAAAAAGTATAGGTAGCCATCCTCCAAAAAAAAAAAAAAAAACTTTATGGACACAGGCTTTCTCAGCTGTTGCACAAAACTTTAAATATCTGCATAAATTTTCTGAAGAACAGGGACAGTATGCATTTTTATACTATCTCTCATTCCTCTGGGAAAGGTCTGCATCAGTTTGTAAATACCTATAGACCTAGAGAATTAAAAATAACAAGGCTATGATCTGGGAAGAGAGCATGGAATAGGAAGGAGATTCCAAGGACAAGCGGCAGTGTTAAAGAGGGATCAAAGAAAGAAGACCCTCGAACAAAAACAAAAAGAAAACCAGAGAAGTATGAGAACATGGGGTGACCGTCTGAGGAGCCACCAGAGCAGGGTTTCAATAATGACTGAGTGTTCAACCAGGTCAAATGAAGTGCGAATTTTGTTTGAAGGTGGATTCAACAGAGCTCATAGAACTTAGTAATTAAAATATTTTGAGTATCCTCAGGAGCGCCATTATTGTAGAGCGGAGCAGGCAATAAGGAGTAAAAAGAAGAAAGTCGGTGGAGGCGGTGAGGTTAGACTATACTTTTTAAAAGTTTATGGATGACTGAAAGAAGAGATTTAAGTTAGCAGTTTAATGCAGAGAGGCAGGCTGATTTAGGAGGGGGGCAATCTGAGTGGAAGTAGCCAGTGGAGAGAGAATGAAGACAAGAAAATTAGAAAAGGAAACACTAGAGGAATTACTCGATTGTTCTATTTATTTATTCATTCATTTACACATGCATTACCTCATGCACTTATTTTCTTCATTCAATCAATATTCATTGGGTGCTCGGTATTCTTCACTGTGTTGGACTCTCATGAGACAAAGATATAAACTATGATCTCAGATGCATGGAGATGCCGGCATGTTGTGTATGACAAGAAATATAGTATTTTTTAGGATAAGGATAGGGAGAAAGAGTGTTGTGAATTATGTCTATCTCAATAAGTTAATGAAATAACATCAAAATGTAAACATTTAAGATGTCTGTCAAGGTATTTTATAGCAGGTGGTCAAACCCTGTACTGCCAGGAGCTCTTGGAAGGGAAGTTTTTATCCCCAGTTAAGTATGGACTTGCTGGAAATGTCACATGTGTCTGTCCCAAGTCATTTTTGAGATGCCCCCAGAAAACTACTTCATTAACCCCAAGTCTAAGTGAAGAGCAGGCTGGAACGAAAGATACAAAGTTGCAATCAGTAATTAGGAGGATAAAATAAGGGAACACTCTCTGCTCTTCACTAACAAAGTCTGGTGTCTTTAAAAGTTCAGATCTTCTTATTTGAATATTGAAAAGGGACTCTAAAGAAGGAACCTTGGAAGACGCCATATAACAGTCCTAAAGAAAAGCAGAAAAGAAGAGAAGTTGCAGAATTGGAAGTATTTGTGATAGTAAACATATCAATGATGTAAAACATGTGAGAAGAGAAGCAATAAACTCCAGACACAAGTCAGATGTATATGAGCTGGAGCGGAAATTGTTTTTTGCAGTATTCCAAATTAACACTTTACTTATCGCTATCTTAATGATTATTCTATATTAAATGCAAGTTTTCCTTCTGCAATAGGGGATGCATTGGGCTCTTTTTCTGAAGTTATAAAAAAAATACTTTTTTTCTGAAGTTACAATAACATGAAAATGCACCTGAATGGCAGAAGGATGGGAAATTTATGAAAACACTAAGAAATATGCTGGTTAATGTCTCAGTATTCATTCTTCAAATTCAAGGTCAACTGTTACCACCCTGTGATACCCTCCCCTAATCTTCCAAGCAGAGTGACAAGGGGAGTTTTGTTACAAACCATCCAATTGTGAATCCTCTCAGAGAATGTCCTTTCCAAAGAGATCATTCTTAAGGGGGGAGAGGAATAACTGAGGCAGCAGTGACAGCTGTGTGTGCGTGTGTGTATGTGTGTGTGTGTGTGATGAGAGGGAAGCATCAGAGTGCTGAGAAGTTCTTAAATAGCTAAGGAAAGAAGGGAATGTCCATCACCACAGAAGGTGACACATTCCTGACCAATCTGAAATGTAAAACTCCTAGATGCCTCCAATCTCAGACAAAGCATGGTCTATGCTCACTGCTCCATTAGGAATCCCCAAAGTAACAGAAATAAATTGCAGACAGAATTCCTGTTCCCTAAAGAATTCTGAGATGAGATCCCAACTTTGCACTCCCAGCATTTCTGACTGAATCTTTAGGCTTTACTGGAGATTTTTATATGAAGCTACTTTTTATTTCCCCAGAAGAGATTGATTAGGACACAATTTCTTTCTCTTTGGGAAGACAAAAGACTGAGTAATAAATGTGAGTTCTAGCTGTGAACTACTAATGATATTTAGGTTCCTGTGTCTAAAATGAGGATAGCATCCGTCCCACGGCCTACCTTACAGTGTTGTCGTGAGGCTAAGAAAAGATCATACTAAAATCTGTAAATGAGATTTAGAAAGGAATGGAATTATAATTTGTGACGTCCTTGGTTTTACTCAAAGGGTACTGTTGAAAGCTGGCCTGCCGCTCTCCCAAGACGGCAGCACAGTGACTGGCTCGCTCCTCAGGGCTGTAAAGATGTGAGCAAACATCGTGAGGGGCCAAGAGGTCAACATCTGGAGGCTGAGAAATCAGCAGGCACCAGAGGAAAAGCTCCTCAGACAAGGCCACACAGCTCCCTCGCACCCCATCACTGCCTGCAGGGCACAGGCCAGCGGAATACAGCAGGAGGTGGACAAGCCACACTTTCAACAGCGACAATTGGATTTGGTCAGAGAAAAATGTATGCCCAGGAGAGAGGAAGAGCCAGAGACCTATGACTTTAATAACAGGGAGCCCTGTGGTATCCAGGAAGGCAATTGCCGTTGAGATTTTCTTTCGTCCCTGGTCTGTGTTGCCTGGAAATTATCGACTTGTAGTTTTATTTCTGCACTTTGGAGCTCTGGATGCAATTGCAGGAACACCTTCTAACATTCATGAACATTTTGTATTTATAGCAATTCACATATCATAACTTTCCCATTAAATTAACTGCCTCGAGTAAGTTTCAAAATCAAAGGAATTTTCTAACACCCATGCAGACGTGTCGTTTTCTCTTCTACTAGAAAGGTAAATCTTATGAATGCAAGGAATCTATGAAAACTGCAGGATTCATGTTTATTACATCTGAGGGTCTACAGTAGTTTAGAAATCACTAAGATGTCTACTGTCTAGTTAAGGGAACCCCAAGAGATCAAAGCAGTGATTCTAGAAAGGCTTAACAGAGGAGTTCGAACAACTGAAGTGGATTGAGTTTTTTTCATAATTGCCACATCTCACTGTTTCTGGTTTGGAGATGAGTCAGCTTAATATAATAAAAAGACTCATTACATTTAGTATCTTGTAAAGTGTGGAAATCCAATTATAGCTTCAGATTTTAAAGAAACTGCCAGAGAAAGATAGTTTCCAAAGTTATTTACACTACTCACAACAGATTTTATAGTGAAACAAGGAGCTATAGCTGTACTTACAAAAAGCAAACAAATTTGGGATTAAAACAATGAGTCATTATTTTTTTTATTGACTGACTTTAATATAGTTTGAGCCCTACACATTTCAAATATTTCCTCTAGATTTTTCCCTCCATTCTCTTTAATCACTACAAGTATAGTTAGTGAACATAAATAGCACTAGGGAATACTGTACTTTCAAAGAATGTTCAGCTTAATTATTATACAAAATAAAAAAAAAAGCATGGGCATGAATAATTGAGAAAAATGGACTTCCTATTTGGCGGGTAGTCACTTCCAGCAGTTGCTTTTGATGCTAGCTCAGTTCTAACGCCCTCATGGACCCTAGTCATTCCTAATACTGGTGGCCTCACCCCATATTCATGCAAAGATAACAAAATATAGCAATATAGCATATAAACTAGAAGTTTTTCTGAAAAAGAAAAGGTTATCATTTTGCTTTGGAAATGATTTGGCAAGAAGCCACACATTTAGTTCCCATTGTTTATTTCTCAGCAATCACTATACATATTCAGTAATCATTCAAAGTGAGAACATGTGACCTAAAAATTGTTTGCAAATGAAATGAAAAATTTATGAAGACTAAATTGACAATGAAGTCGTTATGATGTTAAATTTTATAGATATTTAATTAAATATGTATTCATTTTGATTATAAATTTCTCAAATTTTGGGATCAATACTTTTCTGGAAATATTGAATCTCAGATATTTTGTAGACTCTGGACACCATGTGCAATCCCTAATCAAACAGCATTTACAGGGACTGGCCCAGTGGCACAGTGGTTAAGTAGACGTGCTCTACTTCGGCAGCCCGTCATTCACTGGTTCAGATCCCAGGCATGGACCTATGGTCTGCTTATCAAGCCATATTGTGGTAGGCGTCCCACATATAAAGTAGAGGAAGATGGGAACAGCTGTTAGCTCAGGGCTAATCTTCCTCAAAAAAAAAAAATTAAAATTAAAAGTTTTTTAAAAACACCTTTTACAGGCCACCAAGTGTTCTGGGGGCCCATTTAGCTGGTATCTGGAAGGCATCCTGCTTTCAGACCACAAACCTTCTTTAGAATGTGGTCCACATGCAAAGAATGATCATCTCTCAAGTTACACACTATTTTTGTAAAACCACAATAATTTTTATTAAGCCAAGAAGGTGTGCTTCTTCCTTTCCCTTAATTAATTACATGCATATTTATTATGTACTCTTAAAAAGCGTCCATTGGCCATTTTCCAATCTGGATGAATGATGTATCCCCTCAAGGCACACAGAACAGCCACGGGCTCACGCAAACAAGTCTTACTGATAGATGTGAAATATGAAAACATCCCACGCATACTGCGGGCGGCCACTGGAGCGCATGAATAATTTTCAGGTCGATGAGTTAGAGCGGAATGGCTGCTGGAGATGCAGGTTTCAATAGGAAACCCTTGCTCTCACAGACAGAACAGAATTCCTAGAATAAGGTTTCGAGACCTGTTCTATTAAAAAAAAGATCATGCTGGTAATTATTTTTCCTGATTATTTCTATCTTACCTTTCAAATACAATTTTTTTCTATATGTCTGTGTATATATATATATATATATATATACACACACATATATACATATATATACATACATATACATGCATACACACACACACACAATATTTTCAAATACCTAGTTTCGCTATTAAGGGAGGAATCAAAGTCCATCGAATGCCATAATACAGTGTATCTTCAAATAATTTATAATGAAATCTCTGATTCCCAGATCTGTACAATAAAATCCCCTATTTAGGAATATGGGGGAAGAAAGTCATTCTGAGCTGGTGACAATCTAAACCACAGAATGCATTAAGGCAATAGTTGTATGATTTTCAAGTACTTGGGGTAACAATAATTGCTACCAAGAGAAAATTATAGTTTATGTGGGCTATTGCCATGTTTTATTATTTCTAAACAGATACGAGGCAAAGCCAGCAATAATTAGAGTGACAGGACTCAGGAAGGTTTTTAAACTGTGCTGGGATCAAACGCCTCCTCTGGGATCTCGCAAGAGCTGTTTTATGAAAGAGACGGCTCACTTATAGTTAGGAGGTTATATAAAAATGTATGCTGCAGGAGTGCTTTGAAAAGTTTCAAAAACCATGCGCTTCCCTAAGCAAGCTAAACACCCATCCACAGTCTTGTCCGGATTATTGATTTCTTTAGCAGGCCCTTCCCTAACCCCACCATTTTCCCCGTAACTGGGCAAATTTTAACCAGCTCTATGTTAATATGGATTGTGATCAGAAAAATATGAATACAAATGATATACTCAATATTAAAATTTTCCATCTTGCCAGCAAGATGTCTTAAAATTTCAACAAAAAAATTGATATAGTGCTTACAAGTTTACTCATAACATAAGAATCTGTGAAAAATTGTATCACAGTATTTATCTCCTCTATTAGCTTTTTCTAAGTTAAAGTATCCCTAACTGAAAAAAAATCTATTCTTTTTTTTTTTTTTGAGGAGGAGGATTACCCCTGAGCTAACTGCTGCCAATCCTCCTCCTTTTGCTGAGGAAGACTGGCCCTGAGCTAACATCTGTGCCCATCTTCCTCTACTTTATATGTGGGACATCTGCCACCACATGGCTTGCCAAGTGGTGCCATGTCTGCACCCGGGATCCGAACGGGCGAACTCTGGGCCGCTGAAGTGGAACATGCACACTTAACTGCTGCGTCACTGGGCCAGCCCCCTATCTTTTTTTAAATTACTGTTTTTCATTTAATTTTCACAGAATTTAAAATGTTTTACTAATCTGAGACAAACTTATACCAATCTGAGAATGCCAAGTAATGAGTTCTTTTAAATAAATAGGAAAACAAAATTTGACACATAATGTTCTTTATTTACAGCAACTCATTCTGATGAATTCTACTACTTAAACTGTATCAGTAAGGATGCTAATATCATGCTAATCAGAGGAGCTAAGGCAACCTGGATTGTTAAAATGTCATACACTGTGTGTCTCCCAAATTAATCAACTTCCATTTCAGCTTCCACCAGAATAGCAATTATAAGTTATTGATTTAATCAAAGCAAACTTAAATATTTTTACTTCAAATTTTAGCACTTTTGCTTATCAAATGATCAATGATGAAAAATGTTAGCAGGAAACTGTGGTACTTGTTGAGGTAGAGATTTTACGTTATGCTACTATTTGACCTGTAAAAATCTACTCAATAAGAGAGTAATTACCAGAAAAGGGAAAGATAACGTAAAAAAGATGTTCAACACAGCATTATTTATAATGACAAATATTCAAAAAAGACTAAGAGGCTCAGACTGGGGATAAAGATGTTTAAGAGGTGGAGTAAAAGTTAAAAGTGTTCATGAAACAGAGATAGGGAAAAACAGGAACACACAAGACGAAGCTGAACTGCTTCAACAACCTAAAATGCCCATCAAAAAGCGTGAAGTCAGATATTACAAAACTGACAGTGAATTGCTGAAGGGCAGCTGTACAGAAACTTTACTTACTTCTTTATATTTTTGGTACTTAAGTTACTTTTATCATTTATGCATTACTTACATAATCAGAAAAAGTTATCAAAAAGATGCAAGATTACTCTTTTTCAAAACTGTATCAAAATTTGTTGTGCTGTTTGGGGCTTCCGTGTTAAATTGTAGGAGCTGGCACCGTGTATTCTCAAACAACACACCCACTCACTTGGCAGCCTTCTCACTAGTAAAAGCACAGCAGCCACCTCATTTTTTCTTAATATTGTATACCAAGTCTTGCTCTTTCAAATAGCAGTATTGCAAATTTTGCTTACTTTACCACAATATTTCCTAAACTCCGAGCCTTCAGTTTTTGCATGTTGTCATCCAAAACCATAACTGCAAGTAAAATATAAATAAATAAATGAATATTTGAAGAAACACATAAGCTTAAACCTTAAATGTTTCAATATTTTTTATATCCAATCCCCAAAACTCTAGCTTAAAAAGGCATCTTTTTTTTTTTAAGATTGGCACCTGAGCTAACATCTGTTGCCAATCTTTGTTTTGTTTTGTTTCTTCTTCTTCTTCTCCCCAAAGCTCCCCATTACATAGTTGTATATTCTAGCTGTAGGTCCCTCTGGTTGAGCTATGTGGGACGCCTACTCAGGGTAGCTGGATGAGCGATGCTGGGTCCATGCCTGGGATCTGAACTGGCGAAACCCTGGGCCACCGAAATGGAGTGCGAGGACTCAACCACTCGGCCACGGGGCTGGCCCCAGCATCTTTTAATTCCAGTGAGACCATGAACATAAAGAAATAAGCTATAACGTCTCACAAAAAATACAAATAGTACATGCTTTTGATTCCTAACAAGATCATGAATTTTCCTTCAGAATTTCTCTTAAAGACATCATATTTCAAACATGCTGATAATTTCATAATCTATGTTTATATCCCTTTAAACATATCCTTCTACTCTATCAAAAACATTAAGAATATGTTCCACTTTCCAAAAAGCAAAGGAAATGAGCAGTTTCAAAATACACCAAAAATATTTCAAGCAATAAAAACAAAGTATTTAAAAGCCTGGAAATCCCCTTTTTCTGATTTAAGGCTTAATATCCACCTATGAGCCTTAAAGGTCAATTTAACCTTCCCAAATATTATCCCAATGCTTTCTGTGTTGTACTGTTGAAATCCTGAAAGATTTCAGGAGCTCAAAGCTTGTATGCACATTCAGTAACCCTTAGTGCAAACTGGAAATGAGGGTATATCATCATGTTTTAAGCTTTAATAGACGCTTTATGTGGATTCATTGATCCACGTTATTCTACTGAAAGAAGCTGTAAGAAAAGAAGAACATTGTCCCCAGGAAAAATTAATCACTCCCTTCTTTGTTTTCCCAGAGCACTTTTTTTTTTTTTTGAGGAAGGTTAGCCCTGAGCTAACATCTGCCGCCAATCCTCCTCTTTTTGCTGAGGGAGACTGGCCCTGAGCTAAGAATCCATGCCGATCTTCCTCTACTTTGCTTTATATGTGGGACGCCTGCCACAGCATGGCTCGACAAGTGGTGCATGGGTCTACACTCGGGATCTGAACCGGTGAGCCCCAGGACACCAAAGCAGAAGGTGGGAACTTAACCGCTGCACCACTGGGCTGGCCCCTGATCCCAGAGTGCTTTGTTTTAAAATTCTATTCTGACAGTTATTAGCGGTGTAGACATCTGTCTCTCACTAGACTGTGAGTTCATTAAGGGTGGAGGCCATGCCTAATTCATCTTTGTTTCCCCAAATCCTAGGACAGTGGGCAACTTACTGTGTGCCCCTGAGCACGCTCTATTACCCCTTCAATCTCTCTGTCTAAAAAGCGGGAGTAATTCCTTTCTCATACTGTTGGTACAAGAATTACTTATAAAAAATAGAAGTGACAAGATTGCATAAGGTACCCAATGCATGTGAAATGGTTACATTACACTGAATGTTTTTCACACAAAAATGGTTTTCTTTCTTTTCCCAAAAGGATAGTGCTTTTTTATTATAATATTGAATGTGACATTATGTTTTTGAAGCTCTGCCTAACCACAAAACATATAAATATCATGAGTAATAAAGCCACTATTTCTTTAGCTATAAACACTTTAGTCCTCGTGTTTAACCTGGCTGTCTGTAAGCCAGCGGCTTTCAGACAATGAGAAACTTCTATACTGAAATTCCATGAGGCATTAAAGCTCGACTTTTTCTTACAACTGGATACAAAAACAGTACTTACTGAATGGGAAATGTGTTTAACATCTCCCACAGTCATCAGCCCCTAAAAATGGCTCAACACAAAAGCAGTTTTTCTGATAAAAGGAGCGATAACTGAAGTGTTCACAGGGAGGAGTGCGCTGAAGCTGGGTGCACCTTTCCAGGCCTAAAGAAGTCTCTGACTTCACAGAATGTCTATTTCTGCCCTTAAAAAAAAGAACCTTAAATGTCTTTTTATAAATATATCTGCGTGGCTAAACCAAGTGATCCATGTTTCCTTAATTAGTTATTGTCCTAGAAGGAAAACACAATATTTTTATGGTATAGAAGCAAAACACTAATCCCTAAATTTTGTAATTTATGTGCAAATAGGAATTATATGTAAGAATCATATTCTGTCCCCAAAGCTGGGTTTTCCTGATATATCTATTAAGCCAAATTGTGTGAAAACATAACTGAAGTCTGTGCCTCATTTTCCTTATCTATAAAATGAAGGTGCAAGTCTAAATCAAATCAGTGCATCTGGCTTCCCTGAAATATTAGTAACACTATTAGCTAAGATGTAGTTCAGTCTTTCTATCGGCAAGTGCTTCTGTTAATGCATCATTGTGTTACATCACAACACAGCAACCCTATGAAGCATATAAAATTATTATTCCCATTTAGAAACAAAGAAATCAAATGATCGAAAAGTTAAGTGACTTGTATAAGTTATACAACTAGGGAGTGAAGCCCAAGGGAAATTATTAAACTATTATAATCACTACCAACAATTTAAAAACAAATATTGAAAAGATATTGTATCTCATTGTCCCCTACCATCAGCATGAATGAAATGATGTTTTTTTAGAATCCTCACTGTATATTTATTTTTAGCCAACAAAGTTCAAAAGCCTATCATCATTCTTAAATTAAAAGGCAGCATATATAATAAAAAAATTGCAGCTTCTGTAACAAAAACAAGCAAACAAAATAAAACACACTGGTTTGCATTGTCTTCAGGAGCTGATCATTTGTGCTACCTTACGAAACTTATTTAGTCTTTCTGGGCACCAGTTAACTCATCTCTAAAATGACAACATCTCCGAATTAAGTATGCTTCAGCACAGAATGAAACAATGTATGAAAATAGTCGACACCCAGCGGGTATTCCATGCATACTAATTTCACATGCATACCCTTAACCTGCTTTATCAATAACATTATTTTCTTGGTTATGACAGTCATTTAGAACATGTCCTTGGAAGTCTGCGATATAATTTCACATGCATATTCTTAACCTGCTTCATAAATAATATTATTTTCTTGGTTATGACAGTCCTTTAGATCAAGTCCTGGGAGCCTACAATCTTACTTTTGATCAAATAGGCTAATAAAAAAAACTAAATTCATTTTTAATACAAGGTACTTATTCAGTCAAATACTCATTAAACACCTAGTATGTTTCATGCAATATGATTCACACCAGACACAAAAACTACCAAATTTATTAACACCACATATTTTAAACAAGCGGGGTCATTTCTCACCATTGTATCCCGGAACACTTTTTCCTGCTTGCCCTGGAGGAGGTGTTTTGGAATTACCTAATCCAATGCACGAGGCTGTAATTGGAGATCCAGTCTCTGGAGAAAGAAATATTATTTATCATTCAGTGCTTCATGCTGAGAACACAATGTTTCTCCAGGGAGTGCACTGCCTCCCTTCAGTCTGTCACAGAATTTAATCGGAATAGATGAATAATGTGAATGTACTATTTAAAAACGGAAAAAATTGAGTAATTTATACCATAAGGACAATTTTAAAACTTCAGGATATAAATTTAGAATAATTCATATTGTAGTCCTTCTTTTAAAGAAAAGAAAGGTCTCTCCAGTGTTCTCAGTTGTGGATCAGCAGGTATAAAGAATGGAGAATTATGTGGCTGTGAGAGTTTTACAACACATGATAAAAACTTAAGGATCTCTAGAAAAGAGGCTTTCTCTTAACTCACCTGAAGTTATGCTATCATTTAAATAACAGCTATGTTCTAAATATTTCAGTTATTTATAGCTTAGTCTCTGGAATAAGCAACCCAAAGATTTTTTAAAATATATGAACAAAATCATATTCCAATTTTTTAAGAACTATACTCGCCTAGAGACCTTGCATCGAAAGTCGAACTTACCAATACCTTATCAAACTGCTCTCAATCTGTTGATCCTGGACCTCTAGCAGGCCCAAAAGATAGAAAGAAAGGTATTTATGCTATGCAGATTGTTTCATCAAGACCATAGACTTACCAAAATTAGACTGCATTGATTAACAAAAATATTAAATTCGTTTTCTCTGTCTCAAGTTGTAACAGTCAGAATAATAGCAGCTATATCATGATAACCATAAGTTCTGAAAGTGATTTTTTTTTTGAGGAAGACTAGCCCTGAGCTAACATCTGCTGCCAGTCCTCCTCTTTTTGCTGAGGAAGACTGGCCCTGAGCTAACATCCGTGCCCATCTTCCTCTATTGTATATGTGGGACACCTGCCACAGCATGGCTTGACAAGCGGTGCATAGGTCCGCACCGCACCTGGGATCCGAACCAGTGAACCACAGGCCACCGAAGCGGAACATGCAAACTTCACGGCTGCACCACTGGGCCGGCCCCTGAAAGTGATTATTTTTTATGGAGGAATGTATTTGTTATTATTGGTGAATACAAATTACAAGTTAACAGAATCTTTTAAATATGAGATTTGTATCTGAGGTGAGGCAGGATAAAAGGGTATTGATAGTGAAAAGTTTCAGAACTACTGGCTTCATAATATACACACATTACATACATACGTACACCCAAGGGATTAATTGCCAACCCAATCAGATCCAAAGTAACTCAAAATATTAGAAACATCTATCTTCCTAAGGACTCAGAATGTACTCCTTCCACTATGGTCTCTACCATAATTTATGATATATTTATATCACTTTAGAATGATGATAAGAATTCACTACTGTTCTTTACTTTCTAGAGTAGTTCAGTTTATTATTCACATTTTATGGATAGTGCTCAGCTGGCGTCAGTAACAGAAGACAGACTCTTGAACGTTGAAACACAGTTCCTACATCACAGTTCAGGGCTTAAGGTGCTAAGCCATATGGTCACTGCTGAGGAGAAGCAGCAAGTAACCAGAGCAGACATTTCTGATGTCTAACACAGAGTTTTCAAATGTTTTCAGGTCATGACAAAAAAAATGGGATAGTATTTTATGAGATGGCATTCCGTCAGCGATGCAACACCCCTGTCCATTCTCCCTGCAGTATAATCACAGAATGGGAGGAAATCCACACGTATGGAAGGGTTAACAGCATTTTTCTGTTTGCCTGTTTAAAATGTCTCAGGACTCACCTCAGTTATCCTTCAAAACTGACAGGAGAGACAAGAGCAATGGTGACGACAGGAAGAAACCCTGCAGACTGAGTGCTTAAAGGAAGGTACACACACAGAAGAAGGTGACAGCAGGAACAGAAACTACCAGAAGCTAACAGAAAAGGAGATACCCCTTCAAGATGCTTCTGTTCCCCCTCCCTCCCTGGTGGGAAGCAGCTGCTAAAGTAAATTGGTTATTTTAAAAGTATATCTTATCAAGTTTATTAATAGCAGCATTCCAGGTATCTAGAGTTCAAACTCTACGTTTCTTAAGATCAAAGATTTCAGCAACTTGTCAACAGATAGCTTTAGAACCTATGAACTTACCTACCAATGGCTCTAGCACCTGCCACTAAAAGAAAAACAAACAAAACCCACCAGAACAAAACTCTAACTTCAGCCAGCTTCATCTCATCTCAGCGTGGCTTCTTATGAGGGCACTCTGTTCTACCTATACCACCGGGAGAGAGGGGGTGCGGGAAGAGAAAGTAAGAACAAACCTTGTCTTAAATAAAGACATAAGAAAGGGGTAGCGAAGCACTGTCGATGTTTACTACCTAAGTCAGCTGACATTAAACACACTTCCTGATATTCTTAAGTATCTTTGAATAGCGATGACATATTTATAATCTTTTAACCTTCAGTTGTTTTGTTATAGTTTATGATTGTAAGACAACCATGAAAAGCATATTCTTCTATATGATTATTTTGACTGAATTTGAAGGGCAGTGAAAAGGATTATCCATTCAGTTACTTAGAGGAAATAATATAAGTTTATTCTCTGAACATTAGTAATTTGAGTATCTCATGGACCTTATTTTGACATTCACGTAGGGGATTAAAAAAAGAACTGCTGGTGGGGCTGGCCCCGTGGCCGAGCAGTTAAGTTCGCGCGCTCCGCTGCAGGCGGCCCAGTGTTTCGTTGGTTCGAATCCTGGGTGCGGACATGGCACTGCTCATCAAACCACGCTGAGGCGGCGTCCCACATGCCACAACTAAAAATGGACACACAGCGAAGAATATACAACTATGTACCGGGGGGCTTTGGGGAGAAAAAGGAAAAAATAAAATCTTTAAAAATAAATAAATAAATAAAATCTTTAAAAAAAAAAAAGAACTGCTGGTGGTGACGTGCAAAGGATACAATTTGACAAAATGACAGTTCCTAGGACTCTTAGGCATAATAAGGAGCCACGGTTAGGACCAAAGTGGGGTGAGAAAGACCATCATGGTTGTTCTAGAAACCTTGGTTTTCTCTCTTGATACCTCTGAACATCCTGAGACCCAAGGGCTGATCCACTTGCACCATAAGCACACACACGTGTACTTACACACTCACGCAGACTGTATAACCACCCTGGCTCCAAGCTAGTCCGTGTGCACGGTAGGCTTCTGGTTAGAGAAAGGCCCCAGACATGTTCAGTCCTTAACCAAACTCCTAAGACCTCCCAAGGCCCCATTTCAAAGATGTTCTCAAAACATCTGCTTCACACTGCCCAGGCTATAATTAACTGGCTAGCAGCTATCTAGGGAGACAGGAAACTCAGATGTCACTTTACGACTGGGAAATAGCCACATTAAACAAACCAGAACATTTTCTTTGAAGAAGAGAATTGAATGCTTCATTTGGGGAAACCTTTCCAAAGACACCTAATCTTAGAAACAGAGGATGCTCAGCAATTCATCAGCATAATTTCTTTAGATAAGAGACAACCAGGAAGAAGATGGCAGGGAATGGAAGGTTGTGAAGAACAACTTACGCTGCTACATCTCTACTCATACCGCATTAGAAGCTGATATAGACACTTCACTTTTTTTTTAGTATTTTTACTGCCTCACTCCACCTTATTGCATTAGTGAGTTGTTACCTAAATGAATTTTCCTTAAAACTTCTAACTCTAAAGGAAGAAAAGGAAAAAGAACTAATACACATAATTTTTTCAAATATGAATGATACTGTGTACCATGCTAAGTGCTTTTCATTTATATTACTGCATTTAATCCAACTACAAGCCGGTAGGAAGAAAATGGAATATTTTTTTTTACAGCAAAAATCACTGAGGCCTGACCTAGAAAATTTAAACCCTTTGCCCTAGATCACATAGTTCTTTCAGGGAAGGAGATGAAAGGAATAGTCAAGTGTACAGCTTGTGAGGTCTTCATAAAGAATACGGAGGATTAGAAGGGAACAGAAATCACCCAGACTGAATCAGAGGAACAAAAATCCTTCTGACAGGGAGTGAGCCCAGGCTCTCATATTTGCAAATGGAAGTAACGGGGTACATATCACTTCTTAGCAAGTATTTATTGAGCAGCTATTATGTACTAGGTGCTGTTGAACTGGGGATAGAGCAATAAACAACGGTGACCGAAATCCCTACCATCAGGGAGTTCACAATCTAGTTGGAGAGACAAACAATAAAAAACATGCAAAAGTAAAACATATGGCGTGGTAAAGAGGGATAAGCAGTAAGAAAATAAAGAAAGCACAGACAGGGTATGAGATGTAATGCCGGAGGATTGCATTTTAGACTGGTTGGCCAGGAAAGACCTCCCTAAGAAGGTGACATTTGAGTAAAGACCTGAAAGAAGTGAGGGCACATGTCACGTACATATCTAGGGACAAAGAATCCAGGAAGAAGGAGCCACAAATGCAAAGGTCCTGAGGTAGGCTTATTCCTAGAGTGTCTGAGGAACAGTGAGGTAGCTGGTGTGACCGAAGCCGAATGAGTGAGGAAAGCATTCACAGGAAATAAGCTTAGGCAAGTAGTGAGGAGACAGATCGCGCAAAACTACTTCAAAGCCCTCCTAAGACCTTACGCTTTAGGCTGAATGACGTGGCAAGCTAATGATGGCTTCTGAACATAGAAGTCGATGAATCACAGCAATGCAAATAAAACTTACTTAAATTTTTGCACATCATTTAGGTTCTATGACCAGGTTTATGTTATTTGGGGTTTCAAGACAGATGTACGTGAGGAAACTCATGAACAGACAGAAGCTGTATTAGAACAGTTAGTTAATGGTACAGATTACTGTGGCTTCGTAAACAGCAGGAAACAATTCACATGAGAATTCACCAGACTGACAGTGTGGAAATTAATAAAGAGAAACCTCATTAAATTGGATTCAGGAGGCCAAAAGAGGGAGCTCTCACACTCTACATTGATAGCTGAGCCCAACAGGAAGTAGAAAGACTTCCTCTTCTTGACGGCAGGAAGCT